AAGACGAATTTAATTTATAAATATGTTGTGAATAGCTTTGATGATATCTTTGAAAGGAAGCTGAAGTTAAAGATAAACCTCATTTGTAAATATGTCAATGGCTTGTAGCCAGACTAGAAGTTTATACATTTATGGTAACTAGAAATATGGAAAAATGTGTAAGGCACACAAATTCAAAAATATATGAAATTATCAACGATAAAATACACGTTACACTGTTTATTATCCGTATACGTGGATTATAATGTCCTATGTACATTATCTATATCTATAGATATACAGTAATTGTAACAAGTATTCGTACTGGAACCATTTACCTTGAATGGGGTGCTGTACGAACACTTTTTACACTGACTGTGTGAATTTGTTTATTTATAACCGAACTGCGGATCTTTACACGTTTATAGGTAGTTCGAATATGCAAGTTGGTTCTGTTTGTTTCGGTTCAATTTTTGTAAATACGTTTGCGAACATTTTATTTTGCATAAAGATCCGCTGTCTGTTTGTTACACACGAATCGTGTGTCCACTTACGTTTACTCGACGACCCAACGCTCGAGTCGCCCTTAAACAACCAATTTCACGATATAATTGGAATAATGACGCAAGTGGATCGCGACTGTCAACAGTGATTTCAAAACAAATATCTTATTTGTCAAATAAAGATCAATAAGATCAAAGAATCGTGGAAAAGAAACCGCCGCATATATTAACCGAAATATTGCAAATGCAATTTTCAACGTCTGCAACAATATTTCTGCGATATTCCCGTGACCTCGTCTAGGAACGGTGCTCGAATTGGCTCGAAATTGCCGCTCGAAACCACGATGGTAGCTCCTTAGCAGGCCAGTCGTAATGAAACTTATAATCCGCGTGATGACCCGAAATTATGAAGGAAGTTCATCCTGCTTCTCTCTTTGCCGCACTCAAAAATAGTACCGGTGTCTCGACTGGCCCGTAACCGGCTGGTGTGCGTGTACACACACGTGCGCGCGTGCGCGCGCGTGCTTCGTTCGTGCGCGCGTACGTGTACCGAACGGATAGATGAATCGCCTATGTAAATATACGCGTGCCTCCACGGAATACGAATGCACGACACGGTGCTGACGTGCGCGCGCACGTTCATTTACACGGGTCTGAAAGACGAACAAGTGTGCGTGAGCATCGCACGATTCGGTGACTAAGTCCCTTCCTCTATCCTCGCTCGACCCGCTTGTGTTGTCTGCTCCGTTCTATTCTTCTGGTTCGTTTCTACGTACCCTTCACTCGTCACTCCAATTTCTTTTTTTTAATAACAATAGCTTCAGTACTCGTACGAGGTATTAGCCGCGCGCTATTCCACAACGGTTTGCGCATTTTTGTACCGCAAGGGATTTTTTTCTGGTACCGAAACACGGTACCTTTTGTTGTAAGAGGCGCGTAGGTATCCCGAGGATACTATCCTCATCTCTTGGAAGCGATGGCTCGAGGCGATCTTTCAGATTATAAAGCAGAGTGCACAAATTTATTCGCGCTTTATTTGCCGGGAGCCTATTTATAGGCTTTTTAATCGCAGTACTTAGTTATTCGGATTTACTTTTACTGTGTTGATGGTTGTCTACGAACAATATTCATCGTTTGGTAACAGACTTGGCTTTCAATGTACCTAGTGACAGTATGAAGAAATTATTGTCGGTCTAGATTGGCATATGCTACTGTAGAAAATTCTTTTCTTAATTAATGTCTGGAAATTATAAGAGACGTAGGCGTGTGAATTTAAACAAAAAAAAATATCAGCTTATAGGAAATTATAAGACGGAATTGTTTTACATTTACAATTTGTTCGTAGGGCGTTTAGATTCGAAAATAAAAATTAAAATGATAATAAAAGATCTTTTTTCTGAGATTTCGAAGTGGTCTGATTCTGTTGTCCTAGAAAAAAAAAAACAAAAAAAAAACAACGATCGAACAATCGAATTAAAAACGAAAAATATCACCTTACAGATAACTGTAAATAAACTGTAAATAAAAAATAGTCTCGTATCGTAATACAAACATTTCTCTGGGCCTATTTCTCGATGGCGTATATATGTTTACGCCCTTCGGAAAGGGTTAACTACTTAATAATATATTTCGAGTATGTACGTTTTCTTTTTATAAAAGATTTTGTCTACGAGACATTTAATAATAATAATCTATCGTCATCAATCTGCGGATTTTTATGCATTTATAGCAAATGGACATATTGGATAATGCGTGAAAATATGTACGAATGCAATGATACATATTTTGCAAATTCTTATTTTATTAGAATATTTTCGTCGGTACGCGGTATTAGAAACGTAAATTATCTGCCGATCGCGAGCGTGTCAACAATAAAAATAAAAACAACACAGAGAAAACCATTCCATCAACTATTCGATTAAACAACGAAGAAAGAAAAGAGCTTTTGGCCTCTCGGGCATCGATCCAGCGTAATTCCCAGGTAAAAGGTATTATTAGAAAAAGGTAAACGTCGATCTAGATACGTAAAATGAGTGGATCGACGATAGCGTGCCAGACACGTTCGAATCGAAGCTGTTGTACCTTTTCCACGTCGAGGCTCGAAGCGCGAAATATATTGGCACTCGTCCAAAACAATAAACTCGCTGGATCTGTCCCGTGATGAGCTGACGCCTTTTCGCTACTTGGCTTTTCTTTTGCGGGGGAAGAAAAAGTTCCGAGTTTCTCTTTATGCCACGACGGAGGAGTTTTCGTTCTCGGGAACGCACAAGAGGGGTCTTGCCGGCCCGTCTTCCGGTCGCTGGAGGTGGTTAGGAGGTCTTGCGAGCGTTACTTCTTAGGGTTGACCGAAGAAAGTCTTAATTGACTCTGCACGGTGCTTTCTCTAAGCGTGCCCTTCGTTAAGGTAGAGGGATAATAGACGGATATAATTAAGAAAGTAAAAATAGAACCTCGCTCGATGTTGCTGCGCGCAACAGAAGACCGAAAGAACAAATTCGTGCTTGTTGCCATTGACAGTTTGTTAAACTTAACGTTTTTCTTCTTAGCGCAGACCTCCTCCTGGGTAACGAGGATCTAGAGTAGCTATTTTAAGTTGTTTTGTACAGAGTTCCTACCGATGCGAGTACAGCTTACTTTTGTTTACTTTCTTCGTGTTTCCTTTGGATAATTTTACACATATGTAAAGTAGTTACTTAGTTTCTTAACGTGATTAACTTGTTGGACAAAATGTAACACGCGCGACATTGTCCAATGTAATATCTAAAGCAAAACTGCGCACCTCTTAAATACTCTGCAGATACGTAAGAAGATATCCTCGCGTTTGAGCTTTCAATTTTAACAGTAACGCGTGCCCCAAATCTTCGAAAGTTTTAAATGGAAAGTACACGGAGTTTGTTCAATGGTTTACTTTTTTTTCTTTAACTTCAATCAAATTCGATGAAATGATTCGAGATACAGAATTATATATCGCATATCTTGATTTGAGTCAATATTAACAAATCTTACTACGAACGTAAAATACCGTAAATACTAGTTCCATTTCATTATCAACTATAACATCGTCGTATTGCGCATTTTTAAACATCAGAATTCCTAATGAGGACCTAAAATAAAAATTAATTCTAATAGCTCATCAAGAATCATTTTTAATAATAATCATTTTAATAATAATAATAATAATTATTATTATTATTTTTCATTTTTCGATTTTTGTCCATTAATCGACGCACTGTGCGGCGCTGCTATTTCTGTACTTTAATTCTGTACTTTAATTCTGCCCCCATAGGGCGGCGCGACGGTACACGCCATCTGATAGACATACGAGTGTGAGCCACCGGCGGTGCACGCCGCCCGATGAGACATATGTATAAGTGTGAGCCACCGGTGAAACAAGCCGGCATGAACATGTTAAGCCGATAATATACGTGATTATTATCTAGCACCAAGCAACTTTTGGCTTCAAATTCGTACAGTTCCTTTCGTGTGAGAATTACGGACTTTACTCGAGCAGCACACACACACAACCTCGTTTCTCGATCGATCGATAGATCTCTATCTCTAATGTGGACAAATGAAATGCTCATTTCTAGTAGACACGCAACCAAGAAGCAATAATCGACGACCCTTTAAAATAATCGATCCATTACAGCTTTTTTCATGTTGGAACTCGCTCGGTATAGTTTAATTTATTATTGTCTAACGTTACTTCTAGTTATTGTCTACTGATTCACCAAGTCATCGTAGCACATTAATCACGACAGGTGAAACATGTACTACTGTCGTTTTTAGTTACTGTGCCTGTGGACTCAAAGGATAGGCAATATTAGAAATTTAGAATGTTAGAAATTTTACTTGATAATTAATTAAATTGAAAATGTTGCTAGCATTTCTGCAAAGCGTTTTTTTCTTTTTATCGAGTCTATAACCTATGCAGTGTTGAAAATGTTTGAATTAAATTTTCAGAGAACGTAACATAAATATGCCTGATATAAATAGTAATAGTATCGAACAAAAACATTTTTATACGTGGTACGTAGTTCTTAAACTGAGTGAGTTTTTTTCTAGCTAAACTCTAGTTATTACTCAATATAATTATTAATAACAGTTGTGCTTTAAAGAAAGTACTTCGTTTCTGTGCAGATCTACACGGATTGGGCAAATTATTATTTAGAACGTGGTGGATCTAAAAGAAGAGTCGCGGATCTTCAAACCGACCTGTGCGACGGGGTTCTTCTCGCTGACCTGGTCGAAGCAGTCAGTAAGTAAATTAATACTATTCGTTTTCCTGAACAAGTAGACTCAATATACTCATCTAAAACAGAAAATAACTCATAATTATGAATTTTATTTTTATGTAAAGTAATAAGAATGAATTTTATTTTTATATAAAGTAATAAGAATGAATTTCATAATCATATATATATATATAATTTGATTATTATTAGTTCGTACACATATAATGGGAGAATTATGCATTTTTCAATCTAAAAAATATGTCTACATATACCAATTATTGTGAAATTTATTTATCAATTTAATAATTTATATATTAATTCATGATAATTTATATTATAATTATATATATATATATATATATATATATAAATTTATAAATAAATAGATTTTACAATAAGTGTAAATTATAATAAAATATAATTATAATACAATTATAAGAGTAAATTATAAAATATTACACATTCTGTACGAGTGCACACATATTTTGTGTACATTCAGCACATGTGTCTGATGATTGCGATGACTATGAATGCACGAGTCTAGTTGTCATGACAAATCGGAAACGTTGCCTCGAATTCCGTAACAATTTCTTCGCTGGTCGCATTAACGATTGTACCGTTTCGATATGAATGGAAGAGGTGCCAATAATCAAGTGGCAAGTAACAGTACTCAATGGCCGAATCGTTTATGGTATTGGACAGTTACCTATAACACCTAAATCGACGGTAGAGTCGTTAGGTACGAGGGTAACGTGGTCACGTGTCGATTGCGTGCGCCATATGCGACGAGCATTGATAAATTCATGATTTGCCCGTAGCTATGTAAACCTGGCACCCAACTTTTCAAAAATTAATTTTCTTTTTATAGAAATTGGTAGTACTTCGTTTGTACTTGATTGCATCACCAATAGTTTACGTTTGTACCTTCGTCAATTAATAATTAAAAAAAAAGTTAAAAAAATGATCAGCACCTTACATTGAGATTTTGAAAATCCGTTTTTTTCCCGATTCTTTAGAATCGTTAGTAACCCAACCGAATTGCTTTTTTTTTCGTTAGTACCTCGATAACTTAAATTATATAGCAATTGTTGATCCGCGTAAGAGCGAAGTTCGTCAATTTCAAAGATTTTTCAAATCTGTTTTTTCCCCATTCTTTAGAATCGTTTGTACCCGTTTGTACCGCTTTTCGTTTCGTTTGTACCTCGATAGTTGAAATTTTACAAGCAATTGTTGACACAGTTGAATTATAAAATTTAAACTATCGAGGTACAAACGAAACGAAAAGCGGTACAAACGAGTACAAACGATTCTAAAGAATAGAGAAAAAAACAGATTTAAAAGATCTCAATGTCGGGTGTTGACCATTTGTTTAATTTATTTTAATTATTAATCGATGAAGGTAGAAATGAAACTATTTGTGATACAATCAAGTACAAACGAAACATTATCATTTTCTATAAAAAGAATAAATTTTTGAAAAATCGGTTGCCAGGTTCACACAGCTTTTGCCCGTTAGTCGCGATAGGACATCTTTTTATTAATTGTCGCGTGTTTCTTGTTGCAGCCAATCAAAAGGTGATCGACGTTAACCGAAAGCCAAGGAACGCTCAACAAATGGTGAGTTTCTCTTTCAACATTTCTATCCTTTGTGTTTAACACAAAGTAAAAATAAACGAAAGTACAGTAAAATAGCCAACACAATTTTATTTCTGGACGACTAACGACGAAGTATGACTATTTTACAGTACGAAATAAACCATTGTTTATTTTCTGGTCAACTCCTTGTTTTAGAGTCGTTTTCGAAGCTTACAAATATTGCAATTGATATTACTAAAATTATAATGATAAATTTTAGAAACCTGGAACAAAGAGATAAAATGTCAATAAACTTTATTCTAAGCTTTTGAGAAATTCGGTAAATAAAAGTTTGAGCCGTTTTTACGCTAAATTTCGTTTGTATTCTGAGCAAAATTATGAGATAGAACGTACATAAACTCACATAATGGATTGGACTGTGATTGCTTAGATTAAATTTATAAGTGCAGGCAAAGAAAATTTAAGAACTCGGGCCGATGGTGTCGAGAGTTGATCACCGTGGCTCGTAGCGGTTTACGAGTTGTCTTTTAAAAATAGAAGACCCATAACTGCATTTGGGGTACGTAGATAAAATCTGAACGACTGCCGCACTCCTCTGTGCAGCTGCATCACGTGGAACTTCCATGGATCAATTACATTTCTTTGCAAAAGTGCCTAATAAATAACGAATATACATATCTTTTTTCTAAGTGTATCAAAATTCTAATATGATCTATGTAGGTGTTTTTTTATTATGCTTAAGATAGCATAATAAATGAAAATAACAGCATAATAAATTAAAATAAAGGAGTAGAAGTAACATACGAAGCGTCGATAACTAAGCTAAAGCAACCAATTTATTCTTATTTATTCTGCCGTGCATTGTGCATTTATTCCGTTAACATAGTACACTAAAGATTTGCGTAAGAAACGTTTGCGTAAGAGAAGAGAAGTCATTTTAATTTATATAAGGAGACTGTATTAAAATTGTAGAGTTGTTCCTTCTATCCTTGGTGGGTCTCGTCCTCGATGCGATACCAATCTCTAAGAAAAGGACTAGAAAGAAAGGCAGTGGTTAGTCGGCGAAGAAAAAAACGAACCGCTGAGAAATATTTTAAGGATTCTAACTGCATCTTGGTGGAAACGAGCTGCGTCACATCCGGATAGCTGGACAATGTAGAGTTACACATCGCAGGATAACGCCTCTTCGTGTTCTCCAATTTGCATAATCCCGAGTGAACGCGGCGCCGATCGAAGATGATCGTAGATAACATTTATAATGTAAAGTAGGAACTACGAATCTTGAAAGGTTATTTCTAATCGGATTTTCGCGTGTAAGTTGCAAATTCCTCGAGTCGAGTACCACAAACCTTTGGAAGAATTCTGTTATACCGCTTCTATAAATTACAATTGTAGCACAGCAAACGAACGTTTTCCTCCTATTTTTGTACAATTCTGCATCGGGACTTCGTATGAAAAATCTAGGCAGTGACAAGATGCATTTTTTATTTTTTTTAAATATTTCCTGAACATTTGAATCAATGCCATCGAGTCTTCTAAAGACGTTATTCCTTCTCGTTTATGACGCTACGTACAATTAGGAAGACCAGAAATAGGGACTTGTTTGAGAGTCTGTCTCGTTTAAATTATTAATTTTTTTAGAAAATGAAATTTCTAGTAACTGAACTAAAAGAAAATTGCAAAGAAAGCATTTTTCTTAAAGTGTCAATGAATGTCATTTTATCGAATTGGCCAGTTTTATTTCACGATATCCTTGTTCTGTGATGCTATATGTGTACAGTTGCTTTATAAATTTATGAACTAGTTAATTATTTGCAGTAACATCAATTGGTACTATTTGATTTTACGTAGTTTCGTACAGAGAGAAAAGATTCAACGACTGCTCATTGGGAATTATCGAGAGACGTAAAAGTTTCGAAAACGAAGTTTGCGTCGCTTAAGAGTTTCTCTGAACAGTATTAAAAGTTACTACCATTAATAAAGGTGACCGAAGATGTCTGATGTCGAGTGTATTATTTAACTCGTCGACCTAGTAAAGTATCGAGAAGTTTCTTTTAAATAGTCTGAAATAAAGCTGCTTCGAGTAGTCCATAAAACTTTTCCAATATTCACTTTGACGTACTCGTCAACGTACTCTACCTTAAGTAGGTAACGATGTAGAACTATTGCCCTGAAATATGCTCTTCTTGATATTAAAATGTATGCACGTTTCTATTAATTTGAAAATATTTACTAAATTATCACCTCTTCTTGAATCGAATTTGAAAGAAAATGCAATTATTTTACATATTAAATAAAGTTGCTGCCCTTAAATAGTAAAATAGTTTCTAGACATTAAAAATTATTTAACGAGTCAGGCTTCTTTAAAATCAATTTTATTATTTAAAAAAAAAAAAAGAAAAAGCAAGCCACACTCATTTTTGACCCGATTTAAAGGAAAAATGATCGCTCTAAGAACGATCTCTATTCGTTCTAAAATATTCACAAAATTATTTCTACTTCTAAACGTGAAATGTACGAAAACTTTTCTGATTGCGTATGGTTGAGCAAACTATTCGATAGTCTTTGGCAAGCAAACTATTCTTCCAGAGTTCGATCGAGATCGTTTCAGTTACCAGAATCTTTTTCCAATTTACTAAATCGTTTAAAAATGTCTAACGACTAAATTAGAAATATACGTGCATCAAATTTCAAATCACGCACCGCAGCCTTACTCGTTGTCCTTCCCAAGTTTGCCCTGAAAACCCACCATCCAACGCAACTTTCTACTTTATGACGTGACGATGACAAAAGAAGAAGAACCTCCAGTAACGCGCACGATTGTTTTATAACGGCAATTTAAGTAAACCTCTTTGGAGAACTTTTTCAAAGTTCTTAGAAACTTTTAGTAATAGCGGTTCCCACCCTCGGCCACGAGAAACGAGCGCGGTCCATCGTAGACGCTGGCTTTCCAATTTCGCGGTGTCGAGGGTAGACGAGGGAAAGGGCTCCGGTCTATAATTAAAGCAACGCTCTCGCGTCTGTGCTCGATTCTGCTCGCTTATACGTGCAAGCACGGAATCGTGCTCGAATACACGCACACGTTGACGTTCACGGTAAAGCGCGAAACCGAATCACGTGTTTTCCGTCAAGTCTGCACGCGCAGCACGCGACTCCTCGGCTTTGGTGCTCGTACGCACTTCTGTGACACGTTTAACCTTTCGTGCTTACGTGTAGATGCAATTGAGCCGTTCGCCGCACAAATCGATCACCTACACTTTTAAACAAATCTTAACATTTCATTTACCGGGAGTCGATTTATAGGCTTTTTAATGGCGGTAGTTAGGTATTCGAACTTATTTACTGTGTTGATGCTTGTCTACTTACAACGATCAGTGTTTGGAAACAAACTTGGATTTCAAAGTACACAGTAACCGTATGGAGGAATTATTGTCGGCTTAGATTGGCATATGATACTGTAGAAAATTCTTTTTTTAATTAAAGACTGTTTCTGAATAGCCCGGTAGATAAAGTAGTGTCAAGTCAAAGTGTCGAAACAGTTGGTATAGTCATAACTTTTTATGTTTATGATAATTAGACTGCGGACCTTTATGCAAAATAAAATCTTCGGGAACGTGTCTACGCAAATTGAACCTAAATAGGAATTTATTTTATTCGGGAAATATTCTAACACGAACTTTACTTTCAATCGATCTTTTTTATAGTCTTGCATATTGCTTGCATTTTGTAGTTTCTTGCACATTCAAATTTCCTATGAATGCGTAAAGTTCCGCAGTCTAATAATAACTTTCCTCAGAAGGAAAGAACTTTTTCCAATATTTATTTGAATTTATGTTACAAAGGGAATTAAAAAAAACAATGTATATTATTTCATCGCGTTTCTCAACTTTTTGTTTCATGGAGTTAATCGATTTGTGTAACGAGTGGTTCAATTAGCCATTATATCTGTCGAAAAGGAACGGTTCTAGCAATTTATTGCCTTTGAATGGACAAGTCTTGAAACTTGAGCGTTTTTCACCGTCACCAGCCAGCTTCAAACGAAAGCTCACGAGGACTGATCGGTTAAAGTGGAAAGTAACGTCTTTATTATTAGAATGTTGTAGTACGATATCGTAATATTTCACAAAATTTACGCATCACAAACTTAAATATCACACAATTTATTGTAGTATTACAATATTACAAAAAAATGTCACGATAAAATATCGCAATACTTCACAAAATTGGCACAGCGCAAAATTAAATATCACAATTTATTGTAATATTATACAATATTAATTTGTTTGTAATGAATTTGATACGATTAATCGGAGTACATTAATTCACTCCCATGATTTATTTTATTTCGTTTAACCCACTAGCAAAGAAGATCGTGCATCACTGCTTTAAAGTAACGATTATTTCTGGGTATTCAAGCTAAACGTTCCATTATCAGGAATATCAGGAAAGTTCTAGATTCCACCGAAACTACTAAGCAAAGGGTTCCACACCGTCGTTTATGTCACTTTAGTAGAACTGACATCGTGCTCGCAGGCACTTTGAGGCCATTTAGAGGCCAGTACGACTAAACTCCAGTCTCGATTCGGTACACCTTGATTTCCGCGATGAAACGGCTAGATTCGAGTCAATTCCGTGCAAAGCGATTCATTCCAGATCTAGGTATTTCTAAAGCGATGTTATTTGAAATATCATGCCAAATGACACGTTAGTTTATTTTATAGTTATTTGTATTTGTTGAATATTTCGACAAATAAAACAAGCAGGTTTTATCATTTCTACACAGACGATATATTTAGTTGATAGAAAAATAATTTTATGCGAGCGACGTACAATGTGTGTTTTTTTTTTCTACTGATGTTATTATTCAAAAAGATTATAAAAATATTTTTGTAGGAACTTTATAAAATTTTCCTTATAACTTTATTTCCTTCTTATCTTCGCGCAACTTGATGACAAACTCTTGTCTAGGCTCTACGTATATATTTCTTCGCGAGGCTTTGCTTTTATTTATAATTGATTAC